GGCAGTATCGCCTTCTTCAGAGCCTGGAAGGGTATGCTGATATACAATCTACTAGGCCAAACGCTTCAATGACACTTACAGAAAGACGAAGTAATTACATGATCAACAACTTCTCGAAAAACCCACCGCTTTTTCGTGACTTCCAATGAGGAAGTTTAGAACAGCTGATTATAGTCGCATGTGGTTGACGACTGCACCATCCCACATCAGAAATCGATGCGAACATACGGGATCAGGTTGCGTATGACCTCAGGGCATTCATCCCTGCTATTCATTGTAGGGTTTTCGGCATTTATCCAAAAAGCCTCAAGGAGTTTTCGCGCTGGTGTTTTGGGCTCCTGTGCAAGGATATTGACTTTTACTTCAAAATCGTCTTCGCTATGCTTTTGTATCCTATGCGTGCCTAGTGGGGTGTTTCGTCTTAGTTTTCGTTTGCCATCAAGGTGTTCTTTTATGCGGATACACAAAGGTCTGCCCGTTTCGCCAATATATTCATCTCCGCAATTATTACAAGAGATCAGGTATATCGTACCTGAACTCGTGCAATCACCGTCCCTGCCGTAAGAGCAAATTACGCAATTTGTTGTTTCACACAGACGGTCATACAGGCGGTTGCGAACTAATTGGCGACGTAGAGTAGCCGGTGGTATTTCAACTATCGCTACCGATTCCTCTAGACTTGCCCTTCTTAAGCATCGTTTTATAGCTACGCTTACTTCATCGCTTATGAAAGGCAACATGAACGGGACTTTCTTTTGGCCAAGTGTTTCGCGTGGGCTCGTTGTTCTCCTTGTAAACTTATCTCGTGGGGTTAATATTTCGTAGCCATGGAGATGGCTATTTGCCGGGCCAAGTCGCGCGATTCTTCCTTTAGTTCCCTGGTAGTGCACACAGAGGTGGCCGTTCGAAACATGTTTCTGACAATCGCCCTCTTTGTGTGTGAAGGGTGGGAAGAAAGGAAATGAACAAGGATGTTCTTGTTACTTGGCTTTCGATACCACTTTGTCAGGTAACCGCTACTTGATAGGTTTATTTGGACGTCCAAAAACGGAAGTCAGTTTTCTCTCGGTTTCTCCCGGGTGAACTTTATGCACTCGGACTGCTCGTTCAATAATTCAAAGCATTTGTCCATCTCCTCCTGCGTAGAGAAGACGACAAAACAATCGTCTAAATATCTGCAGTAGAGTAGTGGCCGGAGATCGAGAACAGGGGCTTCTATCTTAGACAAAAACACAATGGCAAGGCTTGGTGCCAATCGCTGTCCCATTGCCAACCCACTTATTTGCGCGAAATATTTCCCAGACCATCTGAAAATCGAGCAGTGTAGGCACTCCTTTAAGAGAGCCATTAGCTGCTGGATGGACAAACCATGCATATTTATTCTTCCTTCATGTTCAACAAGAAGTTCGAAGATGGCTTGCATTGCGGAGTCATTCGATACGTTGGTGTACAGTGCGGTAACGTCGAAAGACTCCATTACGTACGCGTTATTAGGAGACGCGTTACGTAGACGTTCTAGGAACATTTGGGTGTTTGTGAGGTGAGCTGGAATGTGGTTAAGTATCAGGCTTAAAAACCAGGTTATTGTATCCGTTGGCCCGTCTACACAGCTGATGATCGGTCTAACCTTAAATGATGACGGATTGGTTGACGCATGATCATCAGGTGATACCAACTTATGTGTTTTAATAAGTAGGTATAGGACGGGACATGNAACGATCATCTACATATCTGCAGTAGAGTAGTGGCCGGAGATCGAGAACAGGGGCTTCTATCTTAGACATAAACACAATGGCAAGGCTTGGTGCCAGTCACTGTCCTATTGCCAACCCCCTTATTTGCGCGAAGTATTTCCCAGACCATTTGAAAATCGAGCAGTTTAGGCACTCCTTTAAGAGAGCCATTAGCTGCTGGATGGACAAGCCATGCATATTTATTCTTCCTTCATGTTCAACAAGAAGTTCGAAGATGGCTTGCATTGCGGAGTCATTCGATACGTTGGTGTACAGTGCGGTAACGTCGAAAGACTCCATTACGTACGCGTTATTAGGAGACGCGTTACGTAGACGTTCTAGGAACATTTGGGTGTTTGTGAGGTGAGCTGGAATGTGGTTAAGTATCAGGCTTAAAAACCAGGTTATTGTATCCGTTGGCCCGTCTACACAGCTGATGATCGGTCTAACCTTAAATGATGACGGATTGGTTGACGCATGATCATCAGGTGATACCAACTTATGTGTTTTAATAAGTAGGTATAGGACGGGACATGCTGGTCTATCGATTTTAAAGTGCGAAATAACCGATGATTTTGAACCTGCAGCCTATACCACACTGATCCATGATTGTTTAGCCTTCGGTGTTGACTTTTATATTCCTTTTCAGAGGATGGGCGATAGAGAGTATCATCACTAAGATGTCCCTCTGTTATTTCAACATCCAGCTGGCGAGGGATAACTACGAACTCTCCCCCCTTATCACTAACAGACAATCTTATTGTTTTCGAGTTTATTAATTCTCTAATTTCCCGCATGCCACATTTTTGTGCGGCTGTAAGGTTAGAGATAAACTTTCTATCGTGGTAGTGATCAAGGGTCTTGAGAACGCCGTCCGAAAACGCGCGGAATTTTATGTCAACTCCATCGTTAGGGTCCTGCTGTCTAAAAAAAACGTTGACTATTATCAGAAACGTAAGGAATTCGTTTGTGGTTGTTTCTTGAAGCTGAGACATGTGAATTACCCAAAAGATCTTCGAATTTTCGTTGTAAGGTTATTTCGGCACTAGATCTAATAAAATCTTGATCCACCAACTATACTCTTCCAAAGGCGATCCTCCAAATACAAAGCATAAAAATGTTCCTTCGTTGCACACTTCTTCATTCTGGCAAACATCGTTCTGCTTGCTTCGTAGTGCAGCTCGAAGTAGTTCCATTTCGATGCCTCGTACTTGTTGGCTGCCCTCTGGTTGACCGCATATCTCGTGAGTCGCTTTCGTTTTATAAACTTCGGCACGACTCGATGTTGAAAACAGTGGCGAAGGAAGTTGACAGCGCCAGAACAAAACACCATTTCTGATGTGGGATGGTGCAGTCGTCAACCACATGCGACTATAATCAGCTGTTCTAAACTTCCTCATTGGAAGTCACGTAAAAGCGGTGGGTTTTTCGAGAAATTGTTGATCATGTAATTACCAAAGAGTCTTTCGTCTTTTTGTAAGTGTTATTGAAGCGTTTGGCTTAGTAGATTGTATATCAGTATACCCTTCCAGGCTCCGAAGAAGGCGATACTGCCGAAACGTCAGCTAGCGTTGCATTGTATTGTGTTTTTATGGAAGTAAATGTATGCTGTTTAAAAACCTCGCGATTGCTGAACAAGAAAACGACGCATTATTCTTTTTCATTGAATACTGATAATTTTTACTGATATCTGATAATTTTTTAATCTAAGAATCTAGTCAATTCGAAAAAAGAGCTTACGAGATCAGCTTCAACTGAGGCCGACATCCATTTTCGAATATGCGGACCCCAGTGAGATCCAGCGAGTATGCCGCAGAAGATCTCCACTAATGCACCAAGTCCATAACCTTTGTAACCGCCTGAATATTTATAACACCTGGATGACGAAAATAAAACAACATAAGAAGTTTACGCAAGATTTTTCTACTCAACTCTACTATTGCATAAACTTTATGTTATAGCAATCTACTGATTAGTGCAGCGTCGCGGAAAAGATTCACCCCATTAACGAAGCAACCTCCGCATTTCCTTAGATCGTTGACAAAGAAAAGCAGAAGCTCGATAGCTGCTGTGAAGACTAGGCTAACCGGTGACTTCAGATCCACCAAGAGGAAGAAGACCTCCTCCATTTAAAATCGCTTCTGGATTCGTGCTCACTCGGCCGCTTTTGTCTACTCCCCATGTCTCTGGCACTTTTTCGCCACGCCGTTTCGCGATTTCGATCTGGAATACTTTTCCTTGAAGATGAATTCATTCCGTAAACATCGAATATAAAAGATTTCGTTTGGACACAAAGATCGTGCGTTTTTTCATAGCAATGAAAAAAAACGTAAATCAACCTTCGTTGAAATGCCACGCTTACAAGTGAAGACGAGATCGAGAACCTCAACAAGACAGGCAGCCAAATAAACTTCCTCTGTGATTCAGTACTGCTCATATTTCAAGTGCCACGTTCCGTTGAAAGTACAGTGAAGTTGATTGCTAGGCTTCCAACCGGTTGTTTCGGCTTCGCAAGCATTTCAACGGAAATTCCCTATATTTTCGTAAACCTATCAAGTTGACGATCAATCAGAAGACAAAATTCTTTACTTAGCGCCAACTCAACAACTTAAACCAGACGATTATTGCAGTAAAGTGTATATAAAGTTGCAATCCTTAGGAAATATGTAGGTGCTTACCACCAAAGTTTGCTAATGGCACTGATCGATAAGAACTAGCTGAGAGACAGACAAGACGGAAGACTTGCATGGTGTGGTGGTGAACGCCTTAGCCCCCGGAAAGGGTAATGAAAGATAATCGCGCGTTTGTTCCCCATCGCAGACACCTGCGGTCCGTAATTTTGCAAATATCTCAGCATCATTGAACCAAAATTACTTCTTGTAATTATGATAATCTTGTCATATTAGATTTGTTCTGAATATTGCTTCGAAGAAAAGCTGGACAATGACCGATACGAATGGAATACGTTCTTAAGATTGACTTAAAAGAAAGCTCGATTCCGTTCTAATGGAGTTCCGTACCAGGAAGTCACCGAAATCAAGTGGTGATCAACAGAAAGAATAGATCACTGGAAAAAATGAGTGCCTGGAGACATATGAAAAAATGAGACATGGAAATACTGCTGCTGTTATAACACTGTTGATTTTAAGGCCTTATAGAAGACGCCAGTATCACCAGAGTTAGTTGTCGAAATAACCGAATTGGCACATCATTTTGCCAATCAAAAAAAGTAGAAAGACCAAAAATTAGTCCATACTGGCTTACTACTCGTCTACGCCAAGGATGGATAGTCAAACACGCTTCGAGATATTTCTGCAGAAAATCTTTGAGAGCCTTCTAGCCTTTCATCCTCCCGGGTTCGTCAAAATGGTAACAGATTTGTCTGGAATGACAGCAGCATCGCGACGTGCTACATTGACAGACCACCGCAAGTCACTGCGCAGGCCAGATATGCATTCAATCACTTCTAACGATATTTGGTTAAGTCGAATACACAACGAATCCCTTACATATTGATCACCGCCAAGAGCATTAGCTTTATAACTCTTTAATCACTTACATTATATCAATAAAGTACGAGGAGACCACGAATGAAATTAGTCAGCTATCCATATAGAGGCGACCGTTTCGCTAGGATCACCTCAGATATAGAGAAAACTCAAAGTCGCCAAGTCGCTGGATACGTGGTGATCTTGAATACCCCCGTATGACTTCTGTTATCATCGATCGCTTGGATGAGCAACATCAGCGTCAACATCTGCACGCACAACCCTCTCAGCTTGCAGCAGTGGACATTGGTGGTTTTTAAATAAGAGAAAAACACGCTAAAGCCAACGATGGAAGAACAAAAAACACGCTAACTGCTGGTAGTTTAAAATTGATTAACAGAAAGTGTTTAGTTAAAATTTGACCGCTCCTCGAGAGGCCAGACAGCTTACCAAGTGGCTTCCACTAAAGTATTGCACTGATACTCTACTTCGCCATGAACCACTATTTCAACGTCTAAAAATCACAACGTGGCTTAAATCGCTGATGACAGTTGTTAATGGGTGTGCGTCTGTCGGTCATAAGGCGGTATTGTACCATCACAAATAATCCATATGTGTTTATTAGCCATTGCTGAAAGATGCATATAGTACCAAAGTCTTGGAAAAAGTGCTTGAAGACGTACTAATCGCTTTTGCGATTTGCTGGCTGATACAGTGGTCTATTCAACTTTGGTGTACCTGAACACCTTATACAATTCTTCGCAAAAGGCTGCTATGTTAAATGACTTATATTTCTTCTTAGCGGATGTTCCGTGCTTTCATTTTCTTTCCACTAACACTCCCCTATCCGCACATTCGATAATAATCCAAAAACCATTCACAAAATCTCACTGGAGAACCATTATAGTCCAAATTTGAGATGGTAGTAGAATATAAAATGTTCACTACAACAAGCATAACCAAACATATAAAGAATTCTCTTAGATTAGCGATGTCATGAGACTCTGATGAGAATACTAGACTCGCAATCCACCGTAGGTACTCACAAGCCAAACTTTCGTGAAGTTTCAAGCGCATAGTGCGTCACATAATGCTCACTCACACTACTCAAAAATGTACGCAACCATGAAACGTGACACGATGAATATAGGGACTATTCCATACCTCATAAAATGCTTTCTATCTCATGCGAAACGTCGTAGGACCTAGCCGGAGTTGAACCAGGGCATCGTTTGTGATAAATGCTGTCACTACTACTGCACTACCCGTTTCCCATTTATATCCATGTTATATATCTTGTAGAAAGCACTCAACTTATCCTAAATCATAGCCGCGGCTGAGTAGACCTTAATGAACGGCTCTGGTGCTGGGATGGACGAGTGGAGTTTCGTGATATCCTCTAGAGTTACTCGACTACAGGTGATACTGGGAATGACCTGCTCACGAGTGATGTGGTTCCTAGTACATTTTCTACTTGTTTCTTTCTCTTGCAATCGTCGCATATGTACGGTTCTCTCGCTACTCCCGTCTGTTTTCAAGAATCCTCCTCCATCGGGTTCTCCATTTTGACTGAACAACACAAGTACATGCAATAAGTAGATTGATTGCCTTACTAAAAAGTTACCCATTTCGATTTATTTCCATTCAACCAACGATGTCGCATGAACTGGGTTTTACGATCTTTTTCACAGCTCCATTTTTTTTCTAGCTTCGTTGAAGTTATTCACAATCATTCCTGCTTCACTGTGACATCCATGCTAATGGTAAGCAATGCACTACTGCTTACGAGTTGACTGAATCCTTAGGTGATGTGGTCGGTCAATTCCTCCGAGCTCATCCCTAGATCAAGTGTATTTCAAAAGCTTTTTTCCCAATAATAGGCAATTAAAGTCGTAAAAGTGAAGTTCCTTTCTGATTAAGTCTAATGAGACTTTTTGTATAACTTTTTACACATTGTTCCTTTGGTGTTCAAGAAAATCTTTTGCATAGTTGGTTGACCTTCGAGAATTCCATGGAGCAGTGCTAATCGAAATTCATAGATAGATGGTGATCAATGGCAGTGGTGCTTTCGTGTCTTCTCGGTACTACATGACAAAGAACATATCGAAGCCATTTAGTTCGAACTAAACAGGTGTTGATGAGCTGTAGAAACTGTCGCTCGATCACACCATGTACATGAAGGGTAAAACGATGAAATGTTCGGTGATCCTAGATCACGAATACTCTATGCATCTCACTCCGACCATAGTACGCACTGTAGACGTATTTGGATGAATCTCCAACCTAACCAATGACTTTGCCGTGGTCTATCGAAGGACTCTCCAACACGCACATAGAATCGATTTCCGCACCTATGGTCCACCAAGCTCTCCATCCCTCCGGGGTCTGCAAATTGGTACCAGACTTGTCTGGGAGGATAACAGCACTGACTTGATACATCGGTATGCCACCGCAAGTCATTGTAAAAGCCAGATACGCATTCAATCACCTTAAAATTATGTTTAATGAAGCCAAATGCATGGCGCGTCCTTCAGGGATTGATCAACCCCGAGAACTTTATCTCTATTCTTCTATATCTCTCGGACAATTGCTTTGAAATCACTAAATTTGACCGTTAACTCAGTTTTCCAGGGAATTAAACAGCGGTAGCAGATTCCACAGAGGTCGTTCTAATAGCTCTTTTCTTTATATGTTATCATTGTAGGCATAGTGCTGAAGCTATGCGCATTCATTTACTACTGACAAACTTTAAATAAAAATGAGATGATAAAGTGAGTTTAGGAATTAATGGGCTTTGACAACTAAACACACACAACGCTCAATTTTTCGGCTCATGCGATATGCATTCACTCCAACGCGTACGGTCCCCACTCCCTTCCAAAGAAAAAACGACCTTGTTCCTCTCCTTGTATTTTCGCTTTGTAAGGCATTCTTCTCTACGTATTTTACAGCGACTTGTCTTCTACTTCGCATGACTCGTAAGTGTCATTGCAAATATGTAGTCTTCCACAAATTAGAGCATTCTCATCTTCTATACATGTTGAAGGAGAACCCGTTATTCTACCTTCCAGCTGCTGTTGTCTAATCTGTTTTGTAAAGTATATGAAGTATTTTTTGGGATTTTACATCTTCTTCTAACATCCGCACACTTCATATGGTAACAGTGGCTTATAGCAGGGATTGGAAAGGAAAAGAAGACCAATTATTGGTGACAGTTTTAATTCCAAAAGTTTGAATCAGATCGGTAAAAGACGAACTGAACTTCATTTCCGATCAGCTCGTCATCTAAAGCAACAATTAGAAGCCGAAAATAAGGAGAACAATAAAGGAATTACTTGTGATTTCTGTGGGGCAGCTTGAAGTGAATGAATTGATCTGAACAATTTAGCTGATGACTCTCGGAATTCCGATGACAATCAGCCCGATGATCGACAGTTTTTTATTTGAAGGCGCAGAATTAATGTATTTTACGAATTACTTAAGGCTACTGTTTGGTACCAGATTTTAAAAAGGAGGCAGCGGAAACAAGAGAAAAGGAGCACCTTGATGTGGATTATGATAAGTGTTAAGGTAAAGAAGGCATTCCCTGGACGCGATACCAACGCGGGAAGGACAAAAAATGATGTAGAGGATCACTATGCTTTCATTACTCTAGTAATGACTGTAAGAAGTATAGACCTCATGTAAAGAACGGCGATGACAAAAAACAAATTGAAAATATTACATATTACAAGATTAAATTGCTTTAAGAACAACGTTTTCAACAACCAGTGGGAAATTCGAGAATAGAAGAACTTACAATGCTTGCAAGGGAACGCCGTTCCAAAAACATTGATGAGAAGACGCTGTTATTTCGAGTCGAAGCAATAAAAAGACAAAGCCGAAGTCTCTCAGCACTCAGTACTGTCGTTACTAACAGCCTCTACATCATCCTCTTCGTACAGGATGCAGTAAAACCGCTGCTGGACTCAAACGGATTCGTCGAAAAAATCGCCTTAGATAACACCGAATAGAGTAGTTATGGTAGGAAAGCTAGATTTAGTACAAAAATCACATAGGAAATTTCTTGAAGTAAGCAAGAAACCATTAAAAGAATCCTTTTAACTCAGCGTGTGCAGTCAAAGATCACCCATGACGTACGCATTGATATCAACGCGCAGGCTCGCAAGTATTTTAAATGATAGCTCTCGCCTTCTTTTGAGCCTGGAAGGATATAGCGATATGCAATTTATTATGTCAAACGCTTCAATAACACATACAGAAAGACGAGAATCTAAATGGTAGTCACATGGTCAACAGCTTCTCGAAAACCCACTGTTTATTACGTGCCTTCCACTGAGGAAGAGCCACTGATCGGAGTCGCACATGGTTGTCGACTGTACCGCCCCACATCAAAAGCCGATGCGAAGGTACGGAGCCATATCACGTGTGATCTCCGGGCATTCATCCCTGCTATTCATTCTAAGCTTCTTCGTATTTATCCGGAAAGCTTCAAGAAGCTAGCGCGCTGGTGTTTTGGCATTCTGTGCGAGGATATTGACTTTTGCGGGACTACCAAAAACCCAAAATGAACAGCAAGGAGGAATGCCCGGAGATCACACGTGATTTCGCCCCGTACCTTCGTATCGATCGTGGATGTGGGGAGGCGCAGTCGTCGACGATATGCGACACTTATCAGCGGCTCTTCCTCAGTGGAAGGCACCTAGAAAAAACGGTGCGTTTTTCGAGAAGCGGTTGAGCATGTGGCTACCATTTAGATTCTCATCTTTCTGTATGTGTTATTGAGGCGTTTGCCTTAGTAAGTTGCGCACCAGTATACCCTTCCAGGCTCTGACGAAGGCGGTTCTGCAGAAACGTCAGCTGCGATAGTGTTGTATGTGTGTTATTGTATGGAAGTAAACGTACGCTGCTTAACAACCTCGCGATTGCTCAGAAAGAAAACGACGCATTTATAATCCAATGCCGAGGTTAATAGAAAGTCGATCCTGGGAACTGAAAACTCAGGCTTTATTTACATAAGTTCCATAGCACTAACTGAGCGAACTGCTCTGAAACTATGAGAAATGTTGTACAACAATGAACTACATCTTATGGAGAGAACACTCCCGTGGAGCAGAATTTCATTGCCGTGAAGTCAGAGAAACAGGAAGAGTCGCTCGACACTGCAAGTTTTCACTTTTCCAGTCCGATCAGTTAGATTAAGAGTCTACGATTATCAATGGACTTCGCAGAGTAAGTGATACAAATTTAGTGGAACAGAGCTTAAAGTGTTTTTACGAGGATATCGAGGTACGAATGGGGTCAAGGAGATTCTTCGGATGGTGTGCGACTTGCGCTACCATAACAATGAATCGCCGACACGAATCCACCACACATCGTTGATCGAATTCGCGTTCAGTAAGCACTTTCCAATCCATCCACTTATGGGATACGTCGTCAACCCGATCCGAATGTCTCTTTTCGTGCCCACGTTCTTCTCGTTCCCATTGCGATCATGTCCTTATGATCAAGAGGCTCGTTTCATCGATTTCGACGTTCCTTTTCAAAGATTCTAGAGTAACTTCCTGTTAAAGTGTATAGGTCTCTTCAACTGTTGCTTTCGTGACTCCTATTCATTCACGTGTATAGGATACCCTGTATTACTTTTATTATATTCATGGGTATTCGTATTCTAGTTATTCTATTGGCAGTTCCGAACGCTGAATGAGTCCCTTATCAAAAACCAGAAGATGAGTCCATGTTTGGAATCTAAGGTCAGGAGAGAAAAGTTGGGAATAAACCACTGGCAGCCGCCTACGCCTATTGTTCATGAATTCGACTCATAAGAAGAGTAGATCCACTTTGTCTTTAAAATCACAACCGTTCATTGTTGGTGCCAAGCTCAGCGACGCCGACTATTTCACATACATGATGCTTTAGTTAATATTATTCTAAACAACACAATTCGCTCTGTGAGTATCACTTCCTCTTAGTCTAGTTGAATAATATATATGTTCGCCTCAAAGGGGAACATAACCTACCTCAACTTTACGATAGCGTTGATCTGAAACTTGTAAATAATATTTGGAATTCTAGACACTTCTCTGATTTTACCGTCTAATAGTTTATCTCTTCATTACGCCATTATTCCAAACTCAGATGCCAGCTGATAACCGCAACAGATTTTATGATTCTACTGTCACCTTGAATGATTGTTAATCTACTATGAATGATCAGCTATACAAGTTCCTCAGCGGAAATCCTGTTGTGCGCGGCTAGAGAGGGTCATCATCATACCGCCAACGTCCTTCCGCCACGTCCCGCTCCTAAATGCCGATCGATAGGCCAAAATCAGTCAGCTTTTCCTTAGTGACTCGATATTTGTGTTTGCCGTTCATCACAAGGTATGCAGTTCGCTTCTGAGTGTTGATGTACTGCAATTATGACCCAATTCCATTCCTAGGTTCCTCGAATCGATACTGAGAAGGTCTTCGGAAAAACTCAAACTATTCGTTACATCGACTGGAGATGAGGTCGAATTTGGTGGAAATGAGACAGAAAACAACAATGAGTAAGAATTACGGTATTTCCTGCTCCTCAACAGTTGTCGATTACCATGCCTGTGTTTCCCTTATCCAAATGTTGCTATCTCGTTTACAATCAGGTCCCAAATACCAGATGTAAATAATGAGGTATAGACAAAACTTTCGGGCTGATCAATCCCTTAGAGGTGTGTCGTGCATTCGACTCTATTCATAACATTGTAAGGATGGTTGCATACATGCATCCTCTATACTATGGCTTAAGGTGACATACCGATATGTCAAATCAGTTTTTTATCGTCCAAGACCAATCAGTTACCAACTTGCCAACGCTAGAGGTATAGGGGGCCTTGTTTGCTCAGAGTGCGAGATCGAACCAACGACAACGTGTGCATTGCTCGGACACCTCTAACTGTGCCTGACACGCCCAGGAAAATGTTCAAAACCGATAAATTGAGCGCGCAGTATGCTTCCGATAAATTTCCACCATGTATCGCTCAACATATTCGAACTCCGTACGTGGTCATTACGTAGGAAAAGGCAAAATCCAACCATCATGCCCCATCCCTCAAATTAGGTGACTTGTAATGGTTGATAACACAGTCATTATGAGTGGCAAGTTCTTAGCGCCAACAGTTTCACTTTCGCCTGATACTGGGAAGTTGCTATTTTCGGCGTACGTCAACGAATGTTCAGAGCTACAAATTCGATAACCGTCTACATCCATAATCCGATTCATTTTTGTTGGCTTATGCTTTTGGATCAAAAAATGGGACTCGGTGAGACGTACACGGCTGGCGATTGGACGGCCGAACCAAATCCGACTGAATTTCTCAAGCTTCTGATTCGAGCGAAAAGTGAGTTGCACTACTTAACAGCTTCCATTGCAAACTCTTCTTCATGTTTTTATGCTTAAATGAATTCATAACAACTCATCAATGCAAAGCTTTAATTCGAACTAAAAGCATATGCTTCTTTCTTTACTGTCCTCAACCAAGTAGAGCGGATGTCTTTTCCGTCGAGAAAGCCCAACACCTAACGCCCATCGTGGCGCGAAAATTCAAAACATACAGCACGTAGCCGGATAAGTACGCAGTGCTAGAAGGGCGCAAACCTATAAGTTTTTTTCAACTATTAAAACTATGTGATAACTTCAATGATACTTAGATATTTGCAAATCTCTGGGCTGCAGGTGTCTGGGGTGGAGAACGAACGCGCTATTACCATTTCCGGGGAGTAACGCGTTCACCACCACACCATGCGGTTCTATCGACCCTCAGCTAGTTCTATCGATCAGCGCCATCATCAATCACCCGTCAACGGGATTGATCTAGGGAGCCCAAATCGGCAACGAACCTAGTTAAACTGAGGCTGTAGTTATAATCATAACTTTAACTACTTATTTACTGCCTACTTTTTTAATGGCAGGGTGCATTTCGAATCGAAGCTTTTCTTTCAGCTATGTTTTATAGCTGCTATCAGCAATCACTCGTCAACAGCATTGAAGGCCATAGCGCGTTCGCTCCCCACCGCAGATACCTGCGGTCCGGAGTTTTGCAAATATCTCAGCATCATTGAAGTTATATTTCGCAATATACCCTGCCATTAAAAAGAGTAGGCATTAAATAATATATGATAATTGATACTGCCAGAGTATTCGCCTTATTTCACTATGCCAGTATTTTGGAAAATTAACCCTGTGCATAGCAAACACTAAAGGACAAATCTTTGGGCGCTAACCATTGCACGAGCGATGTATCATGCATTCGATTCCATTCGTAGATTTGTAGAAGTGATTGAACGCATATCTCGCCTATACATGCTGTCGAAGGTCAACTGATCTATGACACAGAAAAGTCTGGTACTAATTTTGCTGCTGATCCCAGAAGAATGGACAACTGCATGAGCCCGGGGCGCATGAGAGAACTAGCGGTCTACTCTCAGTGTGTACTGTAGAGACGTCTAACCACTGCACTATGCGAATCGCCGTGCATGTATTTTAAGAAATTGTGTATACCCTCACATTCTAAGTAACAGAATGAGACAAGAATTCTACAGCCGAAGAGACGAGCACTTAAAAACTGTCCAACTTCAGGGAAGTCTTGATAGAATTTCAAAAATCAACCAGTATTCATTGTATCGCCAACAGCTGAGTTCTTCTTTATTTTTTTTAAGAATGAAATTAACTTTAGAGCAGACGAAACGCGCTGAACCCAGAACGTCATCGCCACTGGAGAGGTTAGCGAGATCTGTTAGCGAGTTGATGCTGGCAGTGATCCGACAAATCGTCAGCAACTACTCCTACATTCAACATCGGATTCGGGACAATACTCTCACCCAAAGCGCCAAAAATATTCATGGTCAGCGAATGGCACATCAAATTCCAGTACTAGAAGTCGTTTCATATATAATGATCTCAGTCAGAATGTTCAATTAGCAAGCCTAATGATGTCAGCACAAAGGGATTTTACAGCTTTCATGAACTGAAACTTTGCCTACGATTTTAAAGAGTAAAACACTAATTATCGACCCGGATATCTATGCCAGCTGAAGAGCTACAGGAAAAACTATGGATATTTGAAATTTCTACTCTATGAATTTTCTACTCTACTTTTTTTTTAATTTCTACAGTAGAAACATTTTTTATTTTACGCTACCCGTCTTCACATCTACTATGCGAATCCTAGCACTTCTCATATTCGATTCATTTCCTCGCGTCCGTCATCTACGAGGGTCTTCCAACTTTTATGTGTGGCTTCGGCTGCTGCTTGGGGATTTCCATTTCATCTTGAATATCGTTGAATGCTGGTGGAATCGATTTTCTCTGGAATTCTGAGATAACCATGCTAGAGCGCTCCCAATTAGATTGCATTTTTTTCCCGGATTTTTTCCCGGAGCGATTTTTTCCCGGACTAGTCCGATACCAATCCCAATTCCGGAGGGATTAGAGGCTTGATGCGCCTGGGACGGAGCCCAACCAGCATCGTGCTCGTGAAGATCGGCATCATTACCACTGTGCTATCCGCTCCCTATGGGAGAAACAACATGTGTTCTAAAAATTTAGATGACTTATACCAATATTTATCTAAAAAGTTACTAAGTACTTCTTAACTTCTGTGATGAGCTCCATTCAACGCTGTTGGCAAATGGTACCCAAAAGTGATACGGTAAGAGAAAATCGAGTACGAATAAAAATTAAAAGTTTTCTAGATCATTACGACCTCGGGAACGACATGTTTCGAATGTTTCTCGATCCTTCGATGACCTATTCATGTGCTATCTTCCAAGGTACGCCTTAACCAATTTGCGAAACAAAACAAGACATGCGTATCGATTACATTAGCTACGAAATCATGAATTTCCTCCAGTGTCGCGTTAAGAACATGTATAGCCTACGCAAAGGACTATGCTCTTAATATTGAAGACCCTATTTAAGGGAGCAGGTAATTCAATTTTGTACTGGAACGCACCGCTGGAGAAACGAAACTTCACCACGTGAAGGAGGACCAGGACTTCACTAAGTGGTGTTAAATGTCAAACTAATAACATGGATTTTAACCTGCTCCTGGCTGAGGGAAAACCTAATGAAGTTTTATCCTCGGAAATCCACTGATTAACCCCACAGAATAATTATACCACGCAAATGTAAATTGGCATTAGAGTAAAAAAAAGAGCGCGATAGTCACGGTACTGTTATCGGATGGATGCTGCGAGAAATGTAGGAGAACTATCAATGATGCAATTGAAATAGAGTTTTAGAGCCTCTAGAACATGTCGAGAAGGTGAACTTCGAGGTTCTTGAAGAGGCTCAACAACGGAAGATGGATCGACTAATCGACATGCTCGATCTGAGAGAAACCGATCGAGTACTCGAAATTGGTTGCGGTTGGGGAGCTTGTGCAATTCGTGCAGTGAAAGTGAGGTCATATAAAACTGATCAGTCAATTAAAAAGAATGATAGATAGCAGAAAAGATTGCAGAAAAGCCAATGCTACTGGACCGGCCTCACGATTTCACATGAACAGCTCGAATGGGCGAAGCAAAAAGTAGTGGAAGAAGGCTTACATGATAAGATATGCTTTAAATACGAAGATTATAGGTAGGTATTGATTCCTACTCAAGACTTTCTTACGGAGTCCATCGGAATACATCAGCATTCAAATTATCTACGATTCATTCTCTAAGACAACTTTTACAGTCACTCAATGGATTAACGCTTGAGTTTTCCATAATTCTCCGATTTTCTTCTAGTTAACTTAGACTGTACACAGTGAAGATAAATAGACCCTTTCCAACAGAAGTTTTCCAAACGAAGTAAAAACTACGTTAGAAAAAAGCTCGTGTTCAGGCTAGCCACTGGTCAGTATGATAAAATCATTTCTGTAGAGATGATCGAGGCTGTAGGAGAGGCATTCCTTCCTCAATACTTTAAAGTACTTTCCGATAGACTCGTATCTGGCGGAAAAGCCGTACTTCAGGTATAGTAATTACGAGAGAGAAAAGTTCTTAAGAAAATGATCGGAAAATGATGTAGTTCTTGTACTTGATGTCATTTCAGGGAATAATCTGTCCAGATATCTATTACGAACGATACCGTAAATCGTCAGATTTCATCAAGAAATATATATTTCCTGGAGGTCATATGCCTTCACTGGGTAAGTGGAATGTTCCAAAGATTTAATAAAGCCACTAACAGCACTCATCGAAAACGAAGGCGAAGTTTCACCGCTGTAGCAGCTCCATCACCACAAAGAGCAAGCTAAATGTCTAAGATTTACGTAATCCGACGTCACGTATTATATCGACGTCATTCACGAATGAGTTCCGTTTTTGAGCTTGAGTACTGTTTGAGTATTTTGTCTTTTTAATGAAAGAATTTGAATCCTAGTCTAATGGATTCTCCCTGGAATCGCTCACAGATCTTCACCACAGAGTCGCCAGCTTTTGTGGTCCGCAGAGAGCTTTTCTCAAAATAGCCTGGTTTTAATTTTCCGAATCCGCAGAAATAGAATGGTTGCTTAACCCAGGAAGGGGTCAAAGCGGTTACCCGCTCGCATTACTATGCGGTACCTCTAACTACTGCGTTCTCCGTAACCCAATGTGGAAAATTGGATGCGAAAATACAGATTGAGGCATCTGAAAATTAGAAAAGAAATATTTCGCAGTCACATTTGTAACTAATGGTATTGGATCGCATACTAATATTATCCATAGGTGCTATCAAGTTGTCACTTCCGAATGATCTTACCATAGGAGAAATCCGGCATATTGGCAGGCACTACGCTAACACTCTGGATCACTGGTATAGGTTAGTAAGACTTCTTCAGAAATTTATCAACCACTGGATGTTGCCATCAAGATTGAGGTTCAAAAAATACAAATGAACAAAAATTGAACCACGTTGAGAAGATGTTAAGAGTTTTTGCGTGACGAAAATTGGAACACTGAAAATTTGTGACAAACAGTACACCAAGATCGAAAGTAATCTTCCGACTTACTCTTAGCTTCCTCATTTTATTGGGAAAGCAGGAACCTATGAGACTTCTACGATATCCACTTTACAATACTCAGCTGATGGTAATGGTCACCAGTTGAATTTCATCTAAGGGAGCTCAGCATGGTCTTATCCTTCTGGTACTTCGGCGTTTCCCAATAGTCTCCCACTAAGCCGCCGCCGAATTTTTTGTTTGGCATTCTTTAGATCAGAGTGTCCATGCTCTTCATGAGGTTTCAATCATTTCTTTCTATCAATCTCATAATATTGCAGTGCATGGATGAAAAACGAGGAGAACATTCTGGCATTGGGCTATTCGAAGTCGTTCCATCGCCTTTGGCAGTACTATTTCTCCCTCTGTTCAGCACTCTTCGCCAACGACCACATCGACGCAGTCCAGTTCATCCTAACAAAGAGCATCTAGAACTCTGTCTAAATCTAGTTGATAACCGTATTGCTTTATGACATTCTTTATGTTCTCAAGTCTTTTGCGCGCTCAGCTCAACATATTGGAATTATCGAAACTCGATGAATTCGCAGATATTCGATCCAGTCTCCAATCTGGTCGGTCTACAAGCGTCATCACCCACTGTCTGACGCCTACGATTTTGTGCGAAAAAAAGACCAGTAAGCATTTAGACTCTTCTTCTGGCGAAAAGAAAAAAGCCAACAAGAGTAGGGATTCAAAAAGAAGCGTGGGCAATGGAAGGTTTGAAGTTAAGAAGTCCTTCACGTATATTGAACGTCCTCTTCATAAATATTACCACTAACCTGGCTTTCTGCAATTAAAGTTTGAAGGAGATCTTAAGGAATTCTCTTGTGACATTTAAAAACTTTCGCTAATTAATTAATTTGATACGTAATGCGGTGCAAAAATCTGAAAGAGATTCACATTCCAAAGTGGAACAAGTCGTTCGCATCTATCGACGTTATGCTGCACTATCAGAACGAGAAGACTATAAGGCGTTGCTATCTATACTTCTTTTTCTTTACTGTGAAATCCATACCAAAGTTTCCAACGACGGTCCCAACATATTGTTTCCATGATAGACAGAGATATGAGGTATAGACCATGTTACAATAAATATCGTAATAAACATAGTACGTATTATAGACATCGCGTAGATACTCAGGCAGAAACATCTAAAGCCTGGCATGATGATAGGGCCTAGAGTAATAACACCATACCTTGCCGATGGCTACGGTCGTTGTGGCCATGTCCAGAACGAACGAGTCGCCTCCGGTGCCACTGGCTCCGAGGCACAACGGATTCGTGCCGAGTGCCGGTTTAGCGGACCGAGTCGGATACGTCACTGGTGAAGTGTTCGTGAAGGACATCGCCTGAGACAGTAAGCAGTAACTCATTTACAACGATCACAGTGCTTGAAATACTTTCACAAATAGCTCATAAGTAACTGTTAACTCCATTGTGCGAAAAGAAATCCATCGAAATTTGCACTTTTTCTCAATTTCAAATAATTCTACTCGTTTCTGTTTAATAAGACTCTTAAGAATTAACAGAACGAATTAACAATTCAGAAATATCAGTAGCTGCTTAGTTGTTTGATGAGCGCGTGTGGCGCAGTGGTCGGAGGCGCCCTCCTGCAGCACACACGGGGAATTGATCCTCGCGCCCGTCGCCTACCAAGCCTTCCATCCCTCCGGGTCCGGCAAATTGGTACCAAACTTGTCTGGGAGGATAGCAGCACTGGGTCGATACATCAGTAGGCAACCGCGAGTCATTGTAAAGCCCAGATATGCATTCAATCACCTCCAAACAACGCCGAAAACTTTATCCTTTTTAGAGCTTAGCTGCTTATCTAAGCAAATAAGAAAGAAGGATTGTACAAATACAAAGTTTTCAATCGCATAACCGTTAGCCAGCGAATATTTTAGTTCGGTGGAAGAAGAGTGTTAAAAACTTGCTGCTAAGGAAATGGCTGTTTCCAGCCAGCTTAGCAAATACGAGACAATTACCGTTAAGTTCAATAACGGTAGAATCTCGAAGAATGATCTAAACAAATGGAAATATGAGTGAAACTATAGGAGAGATAAATGGAAAGACCAATGTTTCGCTAACTTCTCTAAAGAACTATTGATAGCGCGAGGTTAGAAAAACTCTATGACCTTATGCAAGCAATTTTGAGCCCCGGTACGAAACGAACATATCTTCCTTGCAACAACACATATCATTTTCACATTAGCTCTAATTGCTTTATTTCCTTAAGAATTAGAAGTTAAAAACGTCCAAAGGATTTCTTCTGAATGAGTTTGACGTCTGCGACCGGAAAGTGAAATTGACGGCATCTTAACTTGATTTCGTTCTTGGTTTGTTCGAAATTAGAAATGCTATTTCCTCCATTTTGAGGTTTTAGTTTTAATACCCTTAGAAAGAAGCTTCAATTTGAAAGCTTTGAAGCATCTAATGAACACAAAAAGCACTTTTTCGCCTTGCGACCAACGGAATTACATCTGGTTCTTGTTAAGGACAAGACCTATTGCACACAATGAAGAACGCGAATTACGAAAACGAACCATGACACCTTGCTTCATTGCCCTCAGTACATACCACCCACAGATACCGTAGTGGTTCGAACCTGAACACCGTGTACGATCAACTATCTATCGTAGCTTACAGTATATTGTACTGAGCTTCTAACGTTAGTAATCGTTGCAGTCGCACCACTGAATAATCAGGATGGAAATACTTCTCTCTTTTTCAATATTGGAGCTCTAATACTCAAGGAAACATAATGCTTACTAACACTCAAAAACATCATCGCAACAAAATATCTTCCAAAATAGTTCCAGATCTTTACTCGACAGCAATTTCTGCTCGCAAAATGAGCCCGATTCATCTCAGACGGATTTTCTATTAGATATAGTACAACTGAATGATGAACACCGTTTCACCTGCAGTAAACAGCACCGTCATCTAAAATTATGCAGAGGCATGAGCAAAACCAGGAGCACCATGTGAGCAACTAACCAGCGATTGCCATTTACGGGGGCTCACGTGTTCTCCAGTGAATCAGCGAATCTCTTCGTTTCCCTTTGCTTGAGCCAGTTTTTCACGCTAACGGTGTTATTTGCAATCACCCGTCAACGGAAATGATTTGGCGAGCACCAATCGTCATTGAAACCAGTTAAAAGACTGGTTGAGAGAAAGGCAAAGCAAGGGCCTTGATGGCGCAGTGGGTAGGACGTGAGGTTCCGGAAAGGGTGAACGCGAGTCCTGAGCTGAGCTGCTGTTATGATTTTTGTCCATATCTCGACATAATTATGGTTGAACTTCACATAGCACCTTGTCATAAAAAAATAGGCAGTAAATGGAAGTTAAACAGTGTCTTCATTGATCACCCATTTCGATAGGTGGAGCCGAGTCCAAAAAGATAAACCGAAAGATGATATCCAGAGCACAGCCGCATTTCTCAACACCAACTTTCAATTTTCGCTCGTCACAATGAGGAAGCGACTCTCGATTTATCGCTTTGCATGACAGATCGCCTAGCGTTTCTAGTTCTTAGGCACAGTATTCTAAGTCTGGCATACTGTCATATCTATAACGTTTTTAATCGCGAAAACGTATAAATCAACATTTATTGAAAAAACAGCGAACCCTTTGCGACCACCCAACCAACACCAGCTTCCTTCGCTTTCTTTACTGCAAGATCCATGCAAAAGTTACCGACGACTGGTCCTAACAGATTGTTTCCATCTACCCAAGCAGAACCAGCTCGTTCCTATAACAGTAGAATTAGTTAAAGTACATAATCAATCTTCAGTTTTCACTGAGTAGTAAAGACGAAAAGCAAATGGAAAGAAAAATTTAAGAAATCATAAACCTTAAGTATGGTCGGAGTGCCATCCAATCCGCATACTTTTTTCATACAGTCTCCAATATACATCTCTAAAATAACTATCTGAAAGGATGTCAACACCAGATTCACCGCTGTTGCACCAGATGTCGGTCCGAAAGTGAATGGCTCACATGGCTGATACATTTTCTATTAAACCATGCACTCTTAAAAATGGGTGCGGCGCAGTGGTTAGAGTGTTCCTCAAAACACTCTGGAACGGTCGCTGGTTCCATCCACTGCCCCGGGTTTGCCATGGCTTCCATTTTCCATGCTCAATAAACTAGTACCAGACTTGTCTGGAAGGATAGCAGCACCGACATGGTAAATCGGCATGTTATTGCAAATCGTTATCTAGGCTAAATATGCATTCAATCACATCTAAGATGATTAATGAAGTCGAATTCATAGTGTGTCCCCCAACAATTGATCAATACCGATAGCTTTATCCTTCATATTTTATACTGAAAATTATTTACTCTATTTGTCAGAACAGCATAGAGCGTACTGCTATCCAGAAAATGAGCAACCACTACATGAAAACGTTATCAACCAAGCAGAATACACTAGGCACCGGTTTTGTGAGACGGAAGCAAACCCTGATTGGCTACTGAGTTGTGTTGACAAGAGTTTATAGCCATGCTATTGTTATGGAGGAGACATCGTCTCCGAAGAAGATGAAATCAGAATAGAGAAAAAGTAGCTCAACATGGCAGGTAACAGTGAGTATTTTAAGGTGAGCACAATACATGCATAAACAAATGGATTAACAAACGAAGCTTTAGATAAACAAGACGAAACTTCTCTTTAACATTCTTCAGAGACCATGGGCTATTAGAAGGCGAAAAATTTAGGATTTGGCTACTGTGTAAATATTACCAACACATATGTTCTATGCAGCCGCATGGATCGCCGATTCCAAGCGCCACTACGGCCGCTTGTGTCTCTATTCATCGTACACACTTTCTCTGAGGCAGCACTATCCTCTATAGTGCTAGTAAGGATCGCCTTTTGCTACAAAATTTTTCACCGAGCTGAACGAGGGCTGTACGCGATATGTTTCTATGGCCAAGGGCCTTAAACATCGAGGTAGCTCCGTTCGTCGACTCACCAAGTCTGTTCAATCCGTGACTGTAATGACCGCGCACATCGGCTTCAATAAGCACGTCAGCTAGTTGTCCGGCATGAGATTCTGCCACACCATGCGTCTTCATGCAATCCACAATGAAACGATACATCTAAATACGGTTAATCAAATGTCTGTGCTATTGATATCTGGAAGAGGAACCATTTCTTGGGTGCTGGTTGGCATTGAGATCTTATCAGTCAAATAATCGCATGTAAAGTCCCTTTATAATCCGAAAACTAAAAAGTGCAAAAGTTTTAGCGAAACATCTCGAGGTTAATACCGAGTTTGCAAAAGTTGTTCTCTCGAAGGTAAAAACCACAGCTAAATTTGAAGACGTAGTCTTCAAGAATGGGCCATCTTCCAGGAAAGTTGCATACCTTTCTGTAGGTAGCTTAGCTTCTCTATGACACCATTGATTCGGCAAAGGAATAACATCCTTATTTCACAATGTAGTCACTTTTCATTCAGTACCTATCTTTTTTCACGGCAGGATACTATGTGAAATTGCAGCTGTCTGCTGTGGGAATCGAACACGCTATTATCCTTTCCGGGGCTAACGCGTTCACCACCACTCCATGCGGGTACCTTCTTTCGCCTTTCTCCCAGCTCAAACATCTTTATTTTTAAATAAATAGATAAAGCATATAAGTGCGAATTCATAATAGACAATAGGGTCGAAATCCTAGCTTTTACGAGCAGTGCGAAAATGTTTATCACATGAATCACTTCGATCCGCGAACACCAACCACTGCCTCGATGGTGAAGAAATATAGGAACGCTTTGGTGGAACTATTTCAAGATATTAAGAGGAATTAACATGATTAGCACTGAAAGACATTCATGAAGAAGACAAGGTTCATAACCAGCTGCCCAATCCACACCCGAACTTAGCCACATCTATGGGCCACAGTTGAAGGGCAACAAACCGAATGAAAAAAGCACCAGGATTTGTAAAATATGCCAACTCGAGTCATATAAGTAAATAAGTAAATATTTATGCAAACAAATTCATCTTGAAATGTTGCCTTGTTATGGTTCCTGTTGTGCATGAATATCTCGTCCACTACTTTTTCTGGCCCGAATTTCGTTTTCTTTCCTCTAAGCCTATTTTCTGCAATCTTGACAGGAAGACGTACAGAGCAGCGCTTGGAGGTGCCCTACGATACAGAAGTGATCGCTGTTCGATCCCTCACATCGGCCTATCCCCGCAAGCTTTCCGTCCTTGGCAAACTGATACCAGACCTGTCTGAAAGCACAGCAGCTTGGCATGATACATAGGTAGGCCGCCGCGAGTTATCGTGTAGGCCAGATATGCATTCAATCACCTCCAACGATGCTTAATAAAACCACAACGTTGCTGAGATATTTGCAAAACTCTGGACCGCAGGTGTCTATGGTGGGGAACGAACGCGCTATTGTCCTTTCCGGGGAGTAACGCGTTCACCACCACACCATGCAGGTCCTTTGTTTCGCCTGTCTCTCAGCTATTTCTATCGATCTTTGCCACAGCAATCACCCGTTCACTCGTCAGCGGGATTGATCTGGGGCGCCCAAATCGGCATAGAACCCAGTTAAGCTGCGGCTGTAGTTGCAACGTTGTGGTTGTAATTCGCTTAGTACCCTGCCGCGAAATTATAGTAGGCAGAAAATAAAAAGGTATAACATTGATGCTTAATAAAGTTGAAGGCATGACGCATCACCTAAGAGACTGATCAACGCCTAGAGCTTTGAGTCATATCAACAGCTTCGTTTTGATAACTTATTCTTTCCCTTCAACCGGTACTGATATCAAACTTAGGTTTTCGACAATCCATACGTCATCTAACTGAATCGTAGTCGGATCGATTTCATTCGAAAAACTCCGAACGAAGACAATACGCGAGACCAAACGGTTTAACACACTGGAGACCGCATTACCTTTTCGACGACTTACGATGATTTCTCAGTCTGAAGAATACCTGAGGAGTTGACAACTCCACAGATAGAATGGACCTTGTTCAATGGTCTTCAGGGCATAAACAATTCCTACGAAATATTATCTCTTTTAAATCTGAGTAGGATTAAAAAGTTTACAAAATCACGGTAGCCAGTGACGTCAGCGATACTGTGGAATACTGCTATTTCCTGCAGGCGAAATTCCCACCGTTCAGTTCCATTTTCATGCTTGAAATACACAGGCATTGATGCTTCCAGAATTTCAGCGTTTCGTTCTGACAGAATAGGAAAACTTGTACCTTATTCTAAAAAATTTTCGGATTTTAGCAGGTTCTAGTTTAATTAAAATGTTCCCCTTAAGCTAAAATACGGCATTTTAAGCTTGAAAGTGACGGATCTTCGAATGCGTTGAAATAAATGCATGTTGAACATTAGGTGTGAATTGACAAACGCTGCATTCTATAGGCTTAGCGAACCTTACTCAGTTCCTTCACTTTTTCTTATGTTTAAGGCCTACACTAAAGAAAACTTTTTTAAAAATTTGTTGCCTGTTACAATTTTTCGCGGCAGGTACTATGTGAAACACAACCGTAACGATGCTGACATATTTGAAAACTTCGAACCGGAGGTGTTTGTGGTGGAGAACGAACGCGTTATAACCCTTTACGGGGGCTAATGTGTTTACCACCACACCATGCGAACCTACATTGATATAAAAGTTCATGAGCTGCTACATGAGTGCTTTATTTTGAAATGATATTCTTCCAACAATGAATGAATAAATAAAGTGCATCAAAATAGAAATGTCGAGGACTATGGGATGAGCTCACCAATGATCAACTTGACAAGGAAGTTGAAGCCGTTCACCTACCTCATCTTTTTGTACCACTTTCTCACCAGGCTTTGCCATTGTCGATGCTGAACAGGACGGGATCCGTGCCACTGATCGCCAACCACAAAAAAGATGGGCGGGACGCATCATTCTGTAAACAAAGGCGATCGTTGGCCGGTAAATGTGCCACTTTGATAACGGCAGTACTCTCCAGGTCATTTAGAAAAGGCGATAACAGTTACACTCTACGCGATAAGACGCCATTTATAACCGCAGTCTCCATAGTAATCGATATCCACGAAGAAGAAAAGAAGTTGAAGTTCATGAATTTTAATGTCGTCAACGAATCTGTGGTAAACGCCGAGCAGCTCAACACGTTTGCATTACTATGTTTTAGTTTTATTTACTGCCTGTTGTTTTTTCATGGCAAGATACTGTCTGAAATACAACTGCAATGATGCTGAGATATGAGCGAAATTCGGAATACCAGGTGATTTTCGCAGGTGAAAGTGTGAAGTTGCATAAGTATGAAACGCTTTTGGTCCCCTGTTCTAATGGCATTAGAGATAAACCATCGAATAGATCTAAACTGAACTCTATTGAAAATTTAATACATTTAAAAAATCATGGTTGGAAAATTTGCTTCAAAATAGCATAAATACAGTAGAACTCATGTCTTCCTAGATTACTGAGGTAATAAGAAGTTATGATTCGGCTAACGTTTCGGCATCTTGTCTTCCTTCGAAGCCTCAAACTTCAGCAGTACTCCATCCCATCAGATTTCAAACACCCACATCGCAACGATGAAAAGCTGTGGACAATCATCTCGGATCATCGGGACTCTGAAGAACGGAAGACGCCGAAACGTCAGCGTAACAAACCTTTTACAACCTCGTCTTAGCCTAATCAACTAAGAAAATTTTGACTAATTTTTTTCGCATCAATCAACAAGCTGCACATTGCAAATTTAAACCCAAACATGACCGCACTGTACAAATGAAACCAGTACCTCGACGATTAAACAAGTGCCACGTGGTCGCTATCAAGGAAATGACATTCTTTCCCACGTTCCTTACGACACTACGAATCCTCATCAATTCCTAATTACTGCCAGCCTTGCTGTACCGAGTACTTAAAAGATCGCTACGGCCAATAGACCGACGTAAACGTAATTTTTCAGCAGCTGAGGCAAACCACTTAGCAATTGCTTCTATTATTTCCGCGGTGTACCCAATAAAAACTCGTCTTCGTCTCGCAAATGTGGAAGTGATAGCTTATCAATAGACACACATCGATTCATCTCCCTACCGCAAACTAGAAGTATTGTTAAAAAAGCGACTGTGATCAACGGAAAACAACCACTCCATTCTCATATAGTACACTCCCCTGTTAAATGCATTATCTCCAATGACACTGAACACACAATTCTGCTGCTACAGGTCGTGATAGGGAGCCAAAACCCTTCGTTAACACCTAGGGACCGGCATGAGTGGATATCGACTCATTTCTTCGCATTCGTTCATTTTCCATTATACGGGTCTAACATTAATCGTCTGTGATTGTGATTTGAATTTGATTGAAAAGTGATTTTCCTTTAACCTCGGTATTACTAATCAACGTGTATTCTTTCTTTGATAAGCTTACACTAGGTTGATGAACAATTTTTATTCGGCTAACGTTTCGACGTCTTCGTTTTCATCAGAGCTGATCAACCGGGACCTTAGGTCTTCCAATACAGGAAGAAAGAATACATGTTAATTAGTAATACCGAGGGTAAAGGAAAGTCGGTTTTAAAATATTGTTATGCTTTTTGCTAGCTGATAATGATGCCGGCTTCCTTGTGATGGATTGTCCAGGAAAAACAAGTCGTTTTCACCGGACAATAACTACTGTCAACCATCAGCATTCTGTATAAAAAAGCATCACCGAGTGAGTATGCTTCATTCGAGAGATGGTCGCTGAGGAAGACCCGACTCGATTTAGAGGCGAAGACGCCACATCGAGACGAAGAACGACTGTGGACCATCGACTCGGACCATCGGCTCTGATGAACACGAAGACGTCGAAACGTTAGCCGAATAAAAATTCTTTACCAACTTCGTGTAAGCTTATGAAAGAGAGAATACATATTAATTGTCTATTTATTTTCTCTTCAGTACCGAATAAGACACAAAAGAACTGTAAAAGCATATTCCTATGGCATTTGATAAATGAGTGTCACAAATGGTGGAACGAATCTTTCCTATGTGAGCGATCTCGACAAGGTTAATTTCAAGCGGATAGGAAATTTCTTGCGGTGTTCTAACGATTTCAATGTTTTTGTAGTTGATTGTCTTTTAGGGTACTTCTAACCACAGCACTCACTACACATGCTCCGGAACTAACACCAAATGCCAACAAAGCGTGAGCAGGGGATTGTGAACTAGAGTAGCTGATGACTCGGAAGAAAATCATACCAGAGTTATGAGTCCTCATTTCAGAGAAGGCAGTGGAACGCCTACCAGAAGGGCTAAACACAAAACGAGATCAAAAAAGCTAGTACTCTAGAAAATACTTGAACGACTGCAAAAGAACCAAAAGTTCGTCGTCCAATAATCATTCATTATCTAGAATATAAACTCGACAAATCAATGACATATGAATTGGTAGAAGTGGAAAGAGATTGTCGCCATGAAATCGGTTCTTAACTTCCCTTACGAAAGACAAAAAACTGCGTTTTTCATCGATCGTGTTGTGACGTGTGAGAAGTTGATCTTATACGAAAACCGATGACGATCAGTGTGAAGGGTCAAACAAGGTAGACTCTTGTCTGCTGCTTAAAACCAAATTGACATCAACATATAGTTTCATCAGATGGAGTCATCAAATATGTCTTGAATCCTGCCTAAGCCATCACAGCTTACAACCACTCTCATAAACTCGATGAAATCCCAAAAAAAATCGCTTCGTACGCATCCAGAATTGTCACTTCAGATGGTATAATCCGATCACAGGTTTGACAAAAACTGCTTTGAAAATCGAACGAATTGCGGTACCGATCCTATGTCATGTGTTTACCCCTTCACATCTAGTGCTAACCGACCTCTTTTTTCATACATCTCGACAACTTCTAGCTGAATGAATCCTCAACAGTTAAGCCGCTGCTGGAGAGTACTTCGAAGGACTCCCTCTAGAACTTCAAAATCCAAAGCTTTAAAAAGAAATAGAACCTTATCGTGGAAAAATATGTGCTTCCAATGGCTTCTGCTTTTACTGACGAATTTATTCGTGATACGAGTTACAACATTTCAAAGTTGCGTTCGAACTCTGTGGTCGTTTTTGAATGAACCTAAACTTTGATTAAGAAAGGCTCATAGGACGGTAGGATTCAGTATGGTCTCAAACTACAACGAATAATTCAATGTTTTTCTTCAATAAGCAGACACGAGGTTGTTAATATAGAATTTATTAGAATACAATAGCTGACGTTTTCGGCGGTTTCGCCTTCCTCAGAGCCTGGAAAGGTCAAGTTGACTGCAATCTACACGGCCAAACATCACCATAACCAAACAGAGAAAATGCTAAACCAAATAAAGCAATCAGTCGTTTTTCGCTTTTTAGATGAATCTAAAACTGTAAACAAAAACTGATAGAATTGATCTGTACTTGAGTCCGCCCTTTTTCGTTGAAAAATTTTCCAATAACTCCCTACAGGATAAATATTACCGCTACGAAGTGTATGGAAACGATTATTTCGGAGTATCTGATTTAGTTGGTTGAAATTCCAAAGAACACTCTACAACATCAAGGATCCCACGACCGTATCTCTACAGCAACAATTCGCCTAAATTTAGAACGGATCAACGGGTTTCAGTGATTATCAAAAACTAAACCACGAGCCAAAGGGACGAATGCCTCATAATCATAGCCCACAGCATCATACTTCATCTGGCCCGACTTTCTTGATTCCTTTAGTAGGTTCATAAGTTAGCTGGGCTCATTGTCATTCTACCTAGGTGTTGGATGGATGGTCTCACATCCGATGATCTGAACAAAAAAAACAGTGTGGAAAATTGCTTATCAGGGTTGGAATTTAGGATCTAATTATTTCATCGAGGTAAGGAAATGTTTCACAGAGTAAACTGCTCGTTAGTATGATCCGCATGAGACTCCGAAGAACGAGAGGTTCGTCAAAACGTTTTCCGTTATGCAATGAATTTATCAAAAACACTGTTGGCTATTGACCAACACCACGCTGATAGAATGTCAGTTTTTGCAATTGTTATACAATGTCACCTTTGATCGGGTGAGTGCCTTATTTCTTATGAAAATAGAAACCACTACAAATTCTGGCCTCCCTCTCCTTGTCTGAAATATTGTATGAACGCAACGATGCTGAGATATTCGCAAAACTTGGACTTCAGGCCAAACCGAACCACGATTTCCCCTTCCGAGGGCTCGCGTATTACACACTGCACCACGGAGATCCTTGCTCTACGTTTCTCTCAGCTACAGTTCCCTACTTAACGTTGCCATCAGCAACCAACCGTCAGCGGATTGATCTGTGATGTTTTGCGAATATCTTAGCATCGTTGTGGTTGTATTTCACATCATACCCTGCCGTGAAAAATTATAATAGGCAGCAAATAAAACGTTAACGCAATATCAACACTTGGACGAGGTTCACGCAAATGATTGGTAACTACAGAATGCGTTAGGTAACAACGGAGGCGTTGCTTGCATTCATTTAAATTTACACAGCAGATAAGACGGACTGGCTGAAAATAAATATGAACTCTGTTTATATTCGCTTTTTGTTGTTCTCTAAAATGTTAGCTAAAGTTGCAGCAAGCATCCTCATTAAGCTGTAGTATGGAAGACTTAGACGCTGGTGTCTTGTCGATATATCTACATGAAATCTAATATAAGTGCAGATTTCTGGGCATTGACGCCCCTAGAATAACACCAAGATGCGGCATTGGTCTACTTCTTACTATAGTGACTGATTTTCAGTCTTCGTTGTGAAAAACTAAGTAAGCTGAAACAATACATGCCTATGAAATTGTGGCTCACTGACTTTCGACCGTTCCGTGTGCTGTCGAATGAGGAAAAAGTAGTTAAAACACCGCTCTCACGACACGCTATCATCATTAAGAACGGATTCATCCAGG